AGCCTGGAAGCCACTTAAGAGCAGGGAGCGCTGACACAAATCCTTCAGCCCGCTCTGTGAAGGTACGTTTACATTCAACATCATCTAGAAAGTATTTCCTTCCAGAGCTGCCATTGTCTTTAAAAACCCTTGGTGAAGACAAGCTGTTTTATCAAATCTCTTAACAAATAATCTCCCCATCATTGTTACTCAGTCTCTTTGAATCTCTTAAAAATAACTATAAATATTGGACACCTTCAAACAATTATGCTTCACTTTTTCATCCAGAACAGTTCCTGATTCTACCATTTCTCACACCCTTTACAACTCAACTTTTTTAAAAGCTGTTGTCCTCTCTAATTCTATTATCTGAACTCTTACATAATTCTTCACTTGTTCCATACGCAGTTTTAGCCTCACAAATTCAATATCATGAAAAACTCCTAAACATATCAGTCATGTGTAAAATTTTGGTTAAATTTCTCAGTAGCTCTTGACATCATTGATAATTTTTGTATTAAAATTTTTTTGGTTTATTTTGGGCGGGGAGGAATTAGATTTCTTCCTTTCTTTTCTTTCCTGCAGGTACTGGGGATTGAACCCAGGACCTCGTGCATGCTAACCATGCACTGTATCACTGAACTATACCATCTTCCCTTAATTTCTGTACTTTTAACTTAAATTTGCTGATTCTTCATTTTTTCCCACTTAGTAATGGAATTTCTGAGGGCTCAATCATTAGTCACCAGTCTTCACAATCTACACACATTTTATTGGTGATCTCATTCAATGTCCTGGCATAAATTCCACGATAAACCAAAACTTCCCAAATTCCTATCTGTGAGGATTTCTAATGATACTGCCCCACTCATTCTTTGAGCAGTGATAACTTGGGCTCATTCTGACCTCCAAAATTTAAGCCACAGAGCTGTGTGGTAGGGATTTTCCTGCCACTTCCCCTGAAACTAAGACGTGCCTGATTTACTCCCTAAGTGTCCTTCCACAGAAACCACTCTGAAAAAGACAGGAGACAGGCTAGATTTTTTTCCTGAATGACTGGAGTTTTTAATGGGGGTGAGACATGTGACTACAACTGGTCCAGGATTCAAAAATATTTCGTGGTCTCCATTAATTACCCAAATTTTGTGATTCTCATTTAAATGATATGTCTGGTTATTATTTAAATTAACTTATATAATTTCTCTTTATTACAATTCCCCTATATCTATCTCTTTGCATGTATTGATTAATTTGATACACACACACACAAACTTTTTAAACTTTGGTTTATCAGTATTTTCCTAATTGTTTCCTCAATGTGTACTATAAAACCTAAACTTCTTGTTCAGAAAATTCTGAGATTTAAGTGCATATACATAAAATAAATGTTATTTCCTCATTCTTCTATTCCACTCCCCATCCTCTATAATACACAAGTTCTGTTATCAATTATTGTGTATCCTTCCAGAAATATTTTTTGTTAGCATAAATTCATGGTAACTAATCTGTACTTTATCAACAGTCGGGTGGGTACTCCTTAAACTCTAGCCCCAACTAATCATTTATTGTTATTTAATAATTTATTGACTATTAATGTAAAGTAAAATATTATTATAAACTTGAAGTGTGTGATGCTATGATGAATCCTAATTTGAATTCTATAGGAGCAACTGAGTTTTAGGTGGTTTAAAAAATTGCTCTTAACTTAAATGGGCTAATAAATCTGTTCTGTTTTTGTTCTTTTATACAACCATTAACAGACACCTTACGAAAGAACATATACAAACAGCAAACAGCATATTAAGAGATGCTCAGTATCATTTGTTATCAGGGATTTTTTTAATTAAAACAGTGAGATCTCACTACACGCCTGTTAGAAATGGCCAAAATTCAGAATACTGTCAGCACCAAATGCTGGTGAGAATATGGAGCAACAGAAACTCTCATTCATTGCTGGTGGGAATGTAAAATTGTACGGCCACTTTGGAAGACAGTTTGGCAGTTTCCTATAAAACTCATCACGCTCGTCATGTAATTTAGCACAGAGCTCCATGGTATTTACCCAAAGCAGTTAAAGACATGTCTGCACAAAAACCTTCAGATGGATGTTTATGGTACTGTTATGTTCATGGAAGCTCTAACCCTCTGCTCAGTTTCCTGTGCTTAGTCATGCTGGTTCTGCATCTTTTTTAAAAGAATGTTGCCTAGAGCCTGAAATATACAGGAGAGCCCATTCTCAAGGCTCTGACCTTTAAGGATGTAACACTTTTCCATTCATATAGATAAAAAGTTGCAGAACAGAGAATAACATTTGTCTTATTTACAGGAACATCATGGACACTACCTGGACACTGCAAGAACAAAGAATTCTGACACCAAGATGTTTGCAACAACCAACCACACTCCTCCCCTTTTTAGTATAAAAGAAGCCTGAATTCTGACTTGGGGAAGATGGTTCTCCAGGACATTAGTCTGCCATCTTCTCAGTCTGACAGCTTTCCAAATAAAGTCTTAATGCCTTGCCCCAACAACTCGTCTCCCAATTTATTGGCCTGTGGTGTGGCGAGCAGAACGTGTTTGGACTCCGTCACAACCCCAGGTTTCCCCTCCAGCCTCAATGTGACCTCCAAGCCTTTGCACCTACAGGTCCCTCCTCCACCTGTAACCCTCTCTCTCTCTCTCTCAAACACACACACACCATTATACTGTCAGAAACAGGATCCCACTTGCAGCCACCTCCCTGGCCTGGACCCTGGGGCCCGGGCCGCAGGCACGCGAGCATGCGCCTTGCACTCGGGGCTCTAGTGTCCGGTGGGAGAGGGCGGTGCAGGCCAGGAGGATGTGCGTTCACCTGAGGCGGGTCCCTCAGCGCAGCCGCCGCCACTGGAGTCTGTGTACACACACACACACACACACACACCCACCCATAAGCATAAGCATATATAGTAGAATATATTATTGATATTATTTTGAACAAATTTTCTCTGTGAGATCAAGCAGTGACTCAGCACAGAAGGTCCTTCCTGAATCTCCACAGGGTGCAGACACATGGTAGATGTCCCCTGCAGTCCCTGTACTCTGCCAGCTAGCATTGCGGGTCTGACATCCCCTACTGTGGTCCTCCACCATCCCCACACCTGTACTCCACCTGGTTCAGCCCCTTTTCAGATGCAACCTTTGACCCCAGGTGTCCCCATTGACTTGACACGTGCATCTGGGAGGAAAGATGTAATCAGGTTCCCTCTTTAGGTGTGAAGCTGAGAAAGAATTACCCAGAACTCTGCCCTGCACACTCCCTAGCCCCAGTTCTTCTAAGACCCCGGCCAAACCGGGAAGGCAGGCAATGGCCCCACATCCAGCATGTGGTCTAGAGTCCAGCTGTCTAATAAAGCAGCCTAAATTGGTGGCAAAATCTATAGAAGGTAAACACAATTGCAAACAGTCAACACTTACAGAAAGGGAGATGAAAAGAACTTGGAGAGTTCAGAGGGTGAGACTCCCTTGCAAGGTAACACATGGAATCAGAGGAGGCAGCTCAGAATAGTGTGACTGCTCTGATACCTTCTCACTAACAAGGCCAACTAGGGTCTCCATTAACCACTTCCAGGGTCTTCAGGGACTTGCTTTCTCTCTGGGCAATCAGAATTACATCTCTCACCTGTAAGGCTTCTGAACCTCCACCCGGCTCACAGCCCCCTGCAGCTACTGTCTGCCTGGCCTGGGAAAGTCTCCTCCTGTTCACACCAAGCAGAGTTTTCTACCTGAGGGACCTCGAGTAGATTTTTTCAGCTCCTCTGAGTGCTTTCCAAATTAGTGGTGGGAGAATTTACACTTCAGAAATTGGCAAACACTACAAAGCAGGGCTACATTTACTGTATTACTGAATGCCTGGACTTAAGTGGCAAAAATTATGTTAACAATGCAGACTAAATTTAAACATACATGGGGTCTATGGTCATGACATTGTGGATGACACAAAAAATTTAAGGAAAAATAATGAGGAAATATCCTACCTGTATTAAAAACAATTATTCCATACAGCAAATGTTATTCACTCCATTTAAGAATGAGTAAAATCCCACATATGTCTTTGTTGTTTCAGTCTTACTTGTAAATGAAAAAGAAAACAGCCATAACGCACATTTTAAAAATATGCAAATAACAAAAATCGAAATAGCACAAATAAAGACATGAAAAATGCTCAAGATCATGAATCATTAGAAAAATGAAAGTAAAACACACTGAGATAGCACTATACACTTAAGAAAAGCTGATATAAAAGACTGACCACATCAAGCACAGGCAGGGATGTGGAATAAATGGAACTTAACACTGCTGGTTAATATGCAAAAAAGTACAATCATTTCAGATCTACCCTGTGACTCAGACACTCCACTCTAAGTTATGGACAAAAGATAAAACAAACATATACCCATATAAACTGACACAAATGTTTGTAACAGGTTTATTTCCAGTAGTCACAACCTAGAAATAACCTCAAGACCGACAAAGAGATGGATAATTAAAACAACAGCAGCATATCCAAAGATAAGAATATTACTCAGGGGGGAAAAAAGGGTTGAGTTGCCCAAATAACACCTCAAAAATCACAAAATACAAAGGAAATCAGAAAGAAAACAATAAACCATTTATGATTCAAACTATATGAATACAAGAAAATGCAAAGGTTACCTCTTGCAAGGGAAAGTGAATCACTGGTTGCCTGGCGAGGTGGGAAAGGCAAGGAGAGATTATACAAGGACGTGATGTACATCCGCTGTGACAGGGATGGTCATTATCAGGATGAGGAGGATGTTTTCACAGGCTCACATACCTACGTCAGAACTTCTCAGATGGTATAATTTCAATATAAGCCGTTGAGTACATGTAAACCATACTTCAATAAAGCTTTAAAAATTGGCTCAAGATTTAAAAAAGCTTCTGTGTCCCACTCTTTACGGAAAATAGGTTTGGCAGCCTTGTTCTGACTCCACCCTCTCTCTCCTCGTGCCCTCTGGGGGTTGGTCTTGGCTCAGTGGCAGCAGATATGGGGACCAGTGAAAATCTCCACCCAAGTCAGGAGGAAGGCTGCATGGACCCAGAGGGTCACGTCCTCAATAATGTAAGTTCCCTTTTCTCTTTTCCTTTCCTGCCTGGGCAGTAAGGGCTGTGAGGCTACAGCAATCCACAAAACTTCCTGGTTAACCTCTCGGACCGTGTCTTCAGCTACACAAGACAAACATGCCTACAGGCCCTAAGATTTGTGCACACACTCATCTTGCACAGTCATCGTCAAACAGACATTTGTGGATGCACTTTAAGAAGAGGCACATTCCATCTAGCTGGCTGCAGTCTCCTCCACTACCTACTAAAACAGAGTTTCTGTAGCAACTACAGCTTCCTTTGGAACCAGCGAAACTACCCAATGAACCGTGGATGCCAGGGAGCACAGCTCTCTGTCGACCTCTAGAAGACATCCCCTCAACAGTGCTGGAACACTCTGTGATCTCTACTCTGAAAAAAGGAATTCATGCTGCTCTCAGAAGCACTATTTTAAGATTCTAACACCTGCCCCTCCTCAGAGTCACCCGAGTTTCCTTAAAAACCTCAAAAGAGGAACAGAAAGCCCTGCAGTTTCTCCTAAGAGGCTCTGGGCAGCTATACAAATTTGGTCAAAAATGTCAAGTCATTTTCTGCAATCATACTGCCCCTCCTCAGGCACAGAGTGTGAGACCCGTAAAACAGAGCACAAATCTGTTTAGAAACTACCCTACACAGGAACAGAGCTCCCAAGATGAATGAGGACTTAGAAGAATAAGGTCATTGTTATCATTCAAGCCAAAGGAACATGCGCCAGAGAGTTCTGGAGTTCAGGACTTGCAAGATAGAAAAACTCATCGCAAGTATCACATGACCCAACATGTCCCTGAAAATTGTTTTCCTTGTTGGAAAGCTGCCAGCAAAGTCATATGATGTTCTACGGACCAACACTGGGTCAGGTCCCTGCTCGAGGTATTCAAAAGCGAAGGGAAGGATCTGCTAGGGCTCAAATGACTCCTAATTTGGCCAATACGTGGGAGAAGAGGGATCAGCTTCCTTGAGTGCACTGGGAAGTGACTGATGCACACTGTGTGGGCTTGCCAGGTGGTACAGGTGAAATGGCCTTGACTATAGTTGTCAGTGACATAAATCTTCGAAGAGCCATGGGCATGTTCCAAAGTGTAACACAGCCATACACACTTCCCACATAACTGAAACTCACAGGGAACCTCCCCACTCTGCATGCTCACATGTATGAGATTCAATTCAGACAGATGACTCCTCCTTAGGTTTCCTCCAGGACCCTTACACTGTACAAGGAAATTGCACATCTATGCCTTTGAGTAGTGGGAACTCTCTGATGTTGAAAGAGGTTAGATTTCCTCGTAAAATTTCCCTCATTCAGTGCACTCTTAAGGCCTTTCTCCAGTGTGGCTTCTCTGATGACAACGCAGTTTGGAGGTGGTAATAAAAGATTTCCCACATTCGCTGCACACATAAGGCCTTTCTCCAGTGTGAACTCTCTGATGATAATGGAGGGTAGAACCACAGGTAAAAGATTTCCCACATTCGGTGCACTCATACGGTCTTTCTCCTGTGTGAATTCTCTGGTGTATTATGAGGTTATTTCTTTGGATAAAGGATTTCCCACAGTCATTACATTCATAGGGCCTTTCTCCAGAATGAACTCTCTGATGATAATGGAGGTCAGACCTTGAGATAAAAGACTTCCCACATTCACTGCACTCATAAGGCCTTTCTCCAGTGTGAGATCTCTGGTGATAACGGAGGCTGGAACTAAAGGTAAAAGACTTCCCACATTCACTGCACTCATAAGGCCGTTCTCCTGTGTGAATTCTCTGGTGTAAAACGAGGTTATTTCTTCGATTAAAGGATTTTCCACATTCACTGCACTCAAAAGGCCTTTCTCCTGTGTGAACTCTCCAGTGCTGGATGAGTGTCCACCTATTGTTAAAACATTTCCCACATTCAGTGCACTTAAATGGCTTCTCTCCAGTGTGAGCTTTCTGGTGTTGATTCAACTGGGATCCATATTTAAACAATTTCCCACACTCAGTACACTCATAAGGCCTTTCTCCTGTGTGAACTCTCTGGTGTTGAATGAGAACCCACCTATTGTTAAAAGATTTCCCACATTCACTGCATTTATAAGGCCTTTCTCCTGTGTGAACTCTTTGATGATAATGGAGGTTAGAGCTAGTGGTAAAGGATTTCCCACAGTCACTGCACTCATAAGGCCTTTCTCCTGTGTGAGATCTCTGATGATATCTGAGGGCAGGCCTAGAGATAAAAGATTTCCCACAATCACTGCACTCATAAGGCCTTTCTCCTGTGTGAGATCTTTGATGATAACTGAGGGCTGAGCCAGAGGAAAAAGATTTCGAACATTCACTACACACATAACTGTTTTCTCCACTGCGCCATGTGTGGGGATGAATGAACACAGATTTGTGATTTAAGGATTTCCCACATTTGCTGCACTTGTACTGCCTTGCCCCAGGATGAATACTTTGATGTTGACTGAGGGTTGAGCTTTGCTTAAAGGATTTTCCACATTCACCACACACATGAAGGCTTTTTGCAGGGTGGACTCTCTGGTGCACAACAAACGAGGATTTGTACCTGAATGCTTTCCCACATTCACTGCACACAAAACACCGTCTTCCAGTGTGGACACCCTGGTCCTGAACAAGTGTGTCTTTGGGGCTGAGGGTTTTCTTGCACTCTCCCCAGGCATGATGACTTTTCTGGCTTTGTAAAGTTGACCCGCACTGGGAGATTGGGTTTGGCTTCTCCACACTTTGAGGGGTCTGTTGCTGTAGATGTCCCACGATGGCAGGAAAGTCCTTTTCAAACGTCCCCCAAGTAAATGGCTTCTGTGACACACGGAATCTGCAGCTCTTCACAAACAAGGCCTTGTCTATGCTGCTTCTGAAGGTCTTCTCTCCCATGTGTTGCTCCTGGTACTGCTGCAAGTCAGCACTAAAATCAAAGTGTTTCGCACACACCCCACACCTCAACAGTTTCTGGCTGTGTCGTGTTTCCTGGTGCTCAGCCAAGTGGAAAATGTCTCTCAAGACTGGACCACACATCTCACAGGGATGGGTCTTCTGGGAAGACAAAGCTGCCTTGGGAGTCCTGGCCTGTGACCCTCCCAGAGGAGCCATCTGTTCAAAAGGTGCCTCTGCATCCCCTGCTCCACAGCAGCAACCTGAACAGAAAGAGATGCTGGTCAAGTACCTGTTGATACACGGACGGGCCAACTCACCACAAATGTGCATCTGTCTCATCTAGGTCTGAGTCTACGGGATGCTTTTCAAGACAAGACAGTTGGAATTCAGTTGAAGGAACAGCTGACTGTTGTGCATTACTGGGCCTCAAGGTCACAGCATAGTGGAGACCTCACCAGGGGAAGGACACAGAGACAGGGTATGATACAAGGAAGAGAGGCAGAGTCTACAACTCCTTTCTCTCCCAACGGCTTCCCACAGGACCTTTTCTGCTGTTTATCTGGGGCTGTACAGAAGTGTACATCCGTGCCCATAAAAATCCAACTGCAACCAATCTGTCTTCAAGGTCATTTTAAGGGTATGTGAACGTCTCATGGCACAAGTGAAGGCCAGTGTTGGAAAGTATTACAGAAAGAGCAGTGAGAGAAACAGGTGAGATGTGGAGTCCACAGGGGTGGAGAGCTTCCCTGGGGTGAGAGTCACAGTAAACAGCAGAAATGATAAGTCAGCAGAGTGTGAACAACGGAGAAGGAAAGATAGAAATGGGATGTGGCCACTGGTTACGGCACCAAAACTCTGGTTAAACAAACAGGTTCCTGGTATGCTCTAAATATAGCTGATATCACACTTCCACAGCTACCATGCATCAGGGCTAGGCTCCTCTGAGTCTACCCGGCTACGGCTGGCGTCATATCCATTCTGTGATATACGAAGGACTCATCTCCATAAACCCTAGTTCAGCAGCTAAATGGGACAACAGGATGCAAAGTACTGAATGAAAAATACGACAAGTGAATGCTAGCACTGTTCCAAAGCAACTGCACACAGAGGACCAAGAAACGAGCAAAAGGTAAGCGATGTCCACAAGAGAGCAGAACAGGAGACACCACCATTAACACCCAACACAATCGGCTCAAATTCCGTGAGTGAAATTAGCCTTGGAGGGCTCAATTAAGAACTGAATCCAACTCGGTGGAGCATAAGAGAATAAGCACACAGACAGGATTGCTGGAGACTGTTTTGGCAGAGACACTTGGAGGGGGCTGGGAAACGGGCTGGGCTATCTCTCTCTGCCACAGGGCGGGTACCGCTGCAGTCCCCGGCTGCCTGCTTCCAGAGGACACTGGAGCTTTTGCTACTGCGCTAACTAAAAGCCATCACTGGTGCATGCCCTGGTGAATATGAGGTTACTGCACCCGACCCCTAGAAGGAGCTGTTGTTGTGCCGATCCAGGATGAGGGCCGCCACATCCCCCAAACCTGTGCATATCCTCACCCCCGGAGCTGTGCCTGCTCCATGTGTGCCTGCATCCCGGACCCTGACTCCACTGCTGCATTGTGCACACAGTGGTCACAGACACCAGACACCCTCACTGTAGGCCAGCGAACTCCCAAAAACTAGTGTCTCGACACAAGCACCCTGACACAGATGTCATGGTCACTGGACGTGCAGCCACATCTCACAAACCAAAGCCGAGAGCACTGGGAGCCACTGAGCCATCCAATGTCCCAGAACCAGAACCGCTGTCAGATACAAGGATCCTCACACAACACCCCACTACTCCACAGGTGCCCGCGCGTCAGACGCCAGTGCCACTGGGCAACAAAAGGAATCCCTTTGGCCGCAAGGTCCTCCTTCCATGGGAGGGAAGAGATCAGGAGTTCCCCTTCAGCCTTCTCCACCGCTGCAGACACCCTCAGCCTCGTGTATTGAAGACCCCCACTACCTTCACCGAGGCTGACATCAGGTGCAGAAGCGGTACGGATTCCACACGGGTGGCCTCCGCTGGAGCCAGTATGGCCACAGCCCACCAAGCTGCTGCATAAACCACAGGTGGAGGTCTTTTCCCACCAAAACTGTACCACGAAATTTGGAAGAAATGACTACACCATCAAATCAGCAGACATCAATGCAAGGCTACAGGAAACACAAGAAAATCAAGGAAGATGAAACCATCAAAGGACTACAATAATTTATCAGAAACAAATTTCAAAGCAATAGAAATCAGTGAAGAGCTAGACAAAGAAATCAATTGTTTTAATGGAGTTCACTGAGCTGCAAGAAAACACAGTCAGTCAATTAAATAGACTAACAAGTTATTCAACAAAGAGATAGAACAAAAACAGGTTGGCTGAGGACATGTATGCAATAACGAAAACCACAGAACTCCTAGAAAAAAACATGGGCAGTACATTCTTTGATGTTGGTCTTAGCAATACCTTTCTAGATATGTCTATTCAGGCAAAGGAAACAAAAGAAAAAAATAAACAAATGGGATTACATCAAACCAAAAAGCTGCGTGGCAAAGGAAACCATTAACAAAATGAAAAGACATCCTACTGAATGGAAGGAGATATCTGTAAATGATATCTCTAACAATGGGTTAATAGCCAAAATATATGAAGAACTCATGAGCAGAGGGGAGTATAGTTCAGTGGTACATGCATGCTTAGCATGCACCAGGTCCTGGGTTCAATCAGTACTTCCATTAAAATAATAAAGACATAAACAAGTAAATAAACATAATTACCCCCCCAAATTGATACAATTCAACAACAACAACAAAAAACAACCCAATTAAAAAATGGGCAGAGGAGTTGAACAGAAATCTTTCAAAAGACATACAGACGGCCAAAATGCACATTAGTGATGTTCAACATCACTACTTATTAGGAAAATACAAATCAAAACCACAATGTGATCAAAACTCATGCATGTTATAATTGCTTTTATCAAAAGGCAAGAAATAATAAGTGTTGATGAGAATGTGGAGAAAAAGGAACTCTCATACACTGTTTGTTTTAGTACTTCCTATGCCTTTTAAAAATATTTTTATTTATTAACTATTGTATTATTGAATTATTTTATTTTGTTGGGGGGGTGTGATTAGGTTTATTTATTTTTAGAGGAAGTACTGGGGATTCAACCTGGACCTCATGCATGTTAAGCATGTGCTCTAGGACTTGAGCTATACCCTTCCCCATCTCATACACTGTTGGTGGCAATGAAAATTGGTGCAGCCAATGCAGAAAAAGGAATAAAGATTCTTCAAAAAATTTAAGAACAGAACTACTATATGAACTAGCTATTCCACTAGTTGGTATATATTCCAAGAATACAAAAACAGTAATTTGAAAAAAAAATGCACCCTTATGTTCACTGCAGCATTATTTACATTAGCCAAGATATGGAAACAAGAGTGCCACCAACAGATGAATGGATAAAGATGTGTCAATCACATGCACACATGCACGCACACAGACACATAAAACACAATGGAGTACCACTCGGTCATTAAAAAAAAAGAAATTTTACCATTTGTGACAACATGGATGGACCCTGAGGGTGGTATGCTAAGTGAAATAAATCAGATGTAGAAAGACAAATATTGTATGATGCACTCATATAGGGAATATAAAAACAAACCAACCAAACTAAATACAGGGATACAGAGAACAGAGCAGTGATCACCACAAGGTTAAATGGATCAACCTTACGGTAAGAATGAATGAAAAATAAATTTTCTGTAAGGTATGCAGAAGGAGAAATATAATGTACACATAAAACTTATATAATGTTATAAACCAATGGTAGCTCAATAAAAAAATAAATCTAAACAAATAAAATGATAAATAAACAAGCAAAACAATTCAAAAACTCAAAAAAACTAATTAAATTTATACCTCAAGGAACTAGAAAAAGAACAAATTTAACAGAAGAAAGGAAATAAAAAAAGATCAATGCAGAAGTAAATGAAATAGTGGGGAGGGTACAGGTAAAGTGGTAGAGTGCATGCTTAGCAAGCACAGGGTCCAGGGTTCAATCCCAAGTATTTCCTCTAAAAGTAAATAAATAAATAAACCTAATTAACCCCCCTGCCGAAAAAAACATAATAAAGAAATAAATGAAATAGATCTAGAAAAATAAAAAAGATAAAGGACATAAAAAGCATATTTTTTGAAAAGATAAACTATTGACAAACCTTAAGAAACACTAAGAAAAAAAGAGAAGACTAAAATAAAATCAGAAATGAAAGAGAGATATTACAACTGATACCACAGAAACAAAAAAGACCATGAGACTACTGTGAACATTTAAATGTCAACAAATTTCGATAACCTAGAAGAAATGGATGTATTCCTACAAAGACGCAAGTTCCCAAGACTGATAGAATACCAAAAATATGAATAAACATAAAACTAGTAAGGAGATGCAATCAGTAACCAAAAATCTGCCAACAGTGAAAAGTTTAGGACCAGATACATTCACCAGTGAATTCTATCAAACACATTTCAGAGAGAATTAACACCAATCCTCCACAAACTCCCAAAATTAAAGAGGACGAGCCACTTTCAAACTCATTTTATGAGGCCAGCATTAACCTGCTGCCTCACACTACAAAGACACTACAAGGACACTACAAGAAAAAAAATTGCAGCCCAACATTCATGATGAACACATAAACAGAAATCCTAAGGACAATATTGCGCTTCAAAGCACAATAAAAAAAATAATATACCTTAATCAAGTCAGATTTATCCCGGAGATGCAAGGATGCCTCAATATACACAATTCAACGTGATATACGCCTTAACAGATGGAATATAAAAACCGTATGATTATCATAATAGATATGGAAAAAGCATTTTAAAAAGTTCAGCATACTTTCATGATAAAAACGCTCAACAAATTAGCTACAGAAGGAATGCATTTTACCATAATATACACCGTATATGACAAGTCACAGCCTACAAAGTATTCAATGGTGAAAGCTAAAAGCTTATCCTCTAAGATCAGGAACTAGGCCACTTCTTTATCACTTCTATTCAGCATGGTACTGAAGTTGAATCAGAGCAATTAGAAAACAAAAAGAAGTAAGAAGATATCCAAATCTGAAATGAATAAGTAAAGTTATCTATACCAATGATATGATCATATGTATAGAAGACCCTGAAGACTCCTCCACCAAACTAGAATACAAATTCAAAAAGTTGCAGGATACAAAATCAACAGAAAAAGCACCTGTGGAACACAGTATGGAGATTCCTCAAAACACTAAAAATAGACTTACCATATGATTCAGCAATTCCACCCTGGGCATATATCCAGAGGAAACCTTAATTCAAAAAGATACATGCACCTCAATGTTCAAAGCAGCACTATTTACAGTAGCCAAGACATGGGAACAACCTAAATGTCCATCGGTAGAGGACTGGATAAAGAAGATGTGGTATATTTATACAGCGGAATACTACTCAGCCATAAAAAGAACAAAACAATGCCACTTGCAGCAACATGGATGAACCTACAGATCATCATTCTAAGTGAAGTAAGCCAGAAAGAGAAAGAAAAATACCATATGATGTTACTCATATGTAGAATTAAAAAAAAAAAGACAAATGAACTTCTTTATAAAACAGAAATAGACTCACAGGCATAGGAAACAAAACTATGGTTAAGAGGTGGTGGGGGAAAGGGGTGGTAAGGGATAAATTAGGAGTTTGAGATTTGCAGATACTAATATATATAAAATACAGAAACAACAAATTTATACTGTATAGCACAGGGAACTATCTTCAATATCTTGTAGTAACTTATGGTGAAAAAGAATATGAAAACAAATGTATGTATGTTCACGTACAACTGAAGCTCTACACCAGAAATTGACACAACACTGTAAACTGACTATACGTCAATAAAAATATATAAAGAAAAACATCATGTATTTCAGCACAGTAACAATGAACTATTTGAGAAGAAAATAATCCCAGTTATAAAAGCATCAAGACTGGTAAAATACTTAGGAATAAAACCAAGGAGCAGAAAGATGTGTACAGTGAAAACTATGAAACACTGATGAAGGGAAATAGAGAAGATGGAAATATGTGGCAAGATATCTGTATACATGGATTGGAAAATTAATATTGTTAAAATGATATAATACCCAAAGTAATCTACAGTTTGTATGCAATTCCTATTAAAATTCCAATGGTATTTTTCACAGAAATAGAAAAAACATACCTAAAATCTGCATAGAAGCACAAAAGAGCCTGAATAGCCAAAGCAATCTTGAGAGAGAAGATCAAAATGAAAAACACTGCTGTCCTAATTTCAAATTATATTACAAAGCTACAGTATTCAAAACAGTATGGTACTGGTATAAAAATGGACAGAACTATGGAACAGAAGAGACTGCCCAGAAGCAAACCCACGCATAGACAGTCAACTAATCTTTCACAAGTGCACAGAGAACACACAATAGAGAAAAGAGAGTGTCCTCAATAGATAGTGCTGGGAAAGCTGGATATCCACATGCAAAAAAAAGGAACTGGATCCCCATCTTATAGAACTTGACATGAATTAAAGACAATATAGAAGACCTGAAACCTTAAACTCCTAGAATAAAAACATAAGGAAAAGGCTTCATGACTTTATTCCTGACAGTGATTTTTTTTCAATATGACATGAAAAGTGAAAATAAACAACTGGAACTCAACAAATTAAAAAGCTTGTAAACAGCAAAAGAAACACTGGAGTGAAAGGAGCTACAAATGGTCAACAGGTGCTCACAATCGCTAACCATCAAAGGGAATGCAAACCAAAATCACAAGATGTCACGTCACACCTGTTAGAATGGCTATTATCAAAAAGAGGTAACATGTTGGCAAGGATATGGAGAAAAGGGAATCCTTGAACACCATTGCTGGGAACATAAATTAGTGCAGTCATGGAAAATATTATGGATGTTCCTCAAAAAATTGGAAATAAAACTACCATATGATCCACCATACGCACTTATGGGTATATATGCCAAGGAACTAAATCAGTATCTCCATAAAATATGTGCATGTACATAGTCACTGCAGCATTATTCAGAATAGCCAAGATATGGAAACTTTCTAAGGTGTTCACCAGTGATGAACTGATAAAGAAACTACAGCATACACACACACACACACATGCACACACATACGTACATATCAACTCCCCCATGCACATGCACACAGGAACATTCAGCCATGAAAAAAGAAAAACTGCCACTTGCAACAACAAGGATGAAACTAAAGGACATTATGCTAAATTAAATAAGTCACAGAGAGGAAAACAAATACTGTATAATATTACTTATGTATAGAATCTACAAAAAAAGACAAACTTAGAGAACCATAAAGAAGAATGCCAGATACTGAGGGCTGGAGAAATGGGGAGATGTTGGCCAAAACACTTTCAGCTATAATGCAAGTAAGTTCTGAGGATCTAATGTGCACCACAGTGACTATAGATATTAATACTGTATTGTAAACTTGAAATTTGCTAAAGGAATAGATCCTAAGTGTCCTCACTGAAAAAAAAAGAAAGAAGAGAAAAAAATTAATTATGTCAGGTAAGAGGTGTGTTAATTAACTCCATGGTGGTAATTATTTCATTAAGTATATGTATATCAAATCATAACATTATATATATTAAATACATATAATTGTGTCAGTTGTATCTCAATGAAGTTGGGTCAAGATGAAACAGGGAGAGAAGTCCAAACACCACAAAAAGAACTATACAGGATAGAGTTGAACGGTAACCCACAGCCAATGAAAGTAGCCATCATGACAATGGCTGCAATTCCACACCCAGGCAAGTACAAGGAACTGTCAGTTAAAGGAGGGGCCACAGAAATTACATGGATCTGGACACACTGCCCCATCCAGGGAAGGGGCAAGCAAGGTGCATCTATCAGCCTTACTGAAAGACTGCTAACCTTGAATCCTTCTAATCCAGCCTTCTACCTGCCACAACAACTTCCCAGAAAGCTGGGGAAGCAAGCAGTGCCTACACACGTGATCAGGATGAAGCACCTCCCTCGGAAAGGAGGGTGAGGCAGGATACAGAGCCTAGACCAGGGCACTGGGGAGAAGAAAGGTCTTACCCAGTGAGGATACAAGTGCATAGTTCTCCAGCATCACATCAAGGTACAGGCGTCTCTGAGCCTCATCAAGGAGCCTCCACTCTTCCCAGGAGAAGTGCACAGCAACATCCAGAAAGCTCACACCACCCTGTTATGAAGGGGACAGACGAAACCATGAACGTTCTCTCTCTGAGAATCCACAATCCATCTCCCCACACATCTATGCCATTCCCACCCTCCACCGGACCTCCCACCTGACAGAGGATGCCAGGCCCTGGTGCCACTGATGCCCGCAGTCTCCTCACTGCCCGTTAATCACTATGTTCAGTCCTCAGCAACAACAGACAGGGGCACACAGATGCCATCTCAGCTCTGGGCCTGGCCTGCAATGTCTTGTCCCTCCAGCCAAGCAATTCCCCTGGGATCTCCCCAACTGTGGGAATCCAGACACAACCCAGTGTAAATATAGACTCATGCTTCATCTGTAAATTTTCAATATCTTGGCCCTGGGGCCATCAGCTCACATTTCCTCTTGATGTGCACATCCTCTGTAGACCAAATCTCTCAGAATTTCATAGCCTTCCATCTCCTTGCACCATACTATAGGACTCTCCCTGAACATACCCTCACATTTGGCACTTTGCATCCAGAGAATGCTTGAGAATTTCAAATAAGATTTGGTACAACCCCAGCTCTCTGATGGATCCAATGCCAGAGAAAGCCACAAATGCTGCTAAGAAGATCTCCCCACCTCCCTCTAATCCTTGCTTCAATGTTATCCACCCAGAACCAAAAGTGAATTTACTGCCAGTTTTGTCCTTTCAGCAGCCACAACACTCCTCTCTCCACTCAACCTTCGTTTAAAAGAAAAACAAACAAATAAAAAACAGCCCTAAAGATCTCCCTGCCAAGCAAATTCTGGAGAAGACATTTAGTGTTAAATAAGCAGCACTCCCAGCCTCCCTGCCATCTTGTCTCAGTTCCCCCTACGTCTCCCCAGCCATTTCCCGTCCACTCATCCCATGGAAGCGTTGGCCACCTGCCCGATCAACCTCTCTCCCACACCGTT